TCTCCCGATCTCCCTACTGCTTCTCATCCTTCTTCTGGGCAGAAAATTGCAAATTTACCGACGAAGGTGGCGACTAGATCCATGCTATAGGGGTAAAACACTACATGGTTTGTGTGTCTTCGCAGTTGCCAAGCATAATACACTAGATCTGCCATGTACTACGCTAGAGATAAGCTTAAGTTCTTAGTCGACTGATGCAAATAGTTGGTAAATGAATGGATGCGTAAGAATCTGTAAAAAAGGGAGAGAAATGAGAAATTTGGAATAAAGGGGGGGGGGTGCGAAAATTAATTGCCACTGGTGTCTAACGTCAGTTGCCACCTATCGTTGTCGTTAATTGCCACCATGTTAACCTATTGCTTGCCATCCTATTGTAGTGGCTGATGCCATCGAATCGAACGGATAGCTAGCACCCAGATTTTAGAAAAAGAGAGTGGATGTGCATGTCCTACTTGCAATGATATGTTGGTTGCCTACGCATGAAATTGTGATAACACTGACGTGTTAACTTCTACGTGCAAGCAGCAGAAAGATACATTTTTTATGGATTGTTGATGCGTTCTTGTTCATGCAGTGATTGAGAACACATTGGCAGAAACGAGACGCGGAAAGAATGAATCACGGAGATGGCGCTGATCTTTGGGGTTCTCAAAGGCCAGAAACGCCCCCTTGGGATGCAACATAATACAGTCAACTCATTTCTGCAGGGCCGTTGCTGCCACTACTAGAACAGCACGCATGCATTGGTATGATGCAAGATAACAAAAAGAAAAGAACAATTGTCGTGTTCGCAACTATGATGATGACATTCTACTTATGTCCTACACTGTCATTTTTAGCAGGTTCTTATGACCAAAACACACTCAGGGGGGCACCATGGCAAGTTCAGTCACAGGGCGCTAACACTGACAAATGTATGGGAAGCCACCTTCAACTAGCTAATGTGGCAAATCAAGGTAACACATACGAAAAAGAAACATACTGGTGTGGGCATGAAAAATAAACTTGCAAAGGATGGCAAAAGACTCACGAGTTGTGTCGGGAAAAATTGCAGAACCTTCATGCAGCACGTGGCATCAGGCGGCACCCATGTACCTGCCATCGACGTCATACACAGGTGAGTCCATAAAAAGTGAAGCTGCGGACGGTGAATTAGCAGAAGAAGCATAGTTGACAACTGTAGTTGCCATCCCTGGACAACTGCAGTTGCCATCTCTGAACAACTGCAGTTGCCATGACTGAACAACTGCAGTTGTCATCTCTGGACAACTGTAGTTGCCATCCCTGGACAACTTGCAGTTGCCATGACTGAACAACTTGCAGTTGCCATGCATTACCCATCTACTACCATGCTTACAGGTTATTACGATGCTTCTACCCCGGCAAACGTCTCATGGCAAGCTTCACACATTGCAGATAGAGCACGTCAATTTGGTGTTACAGACCACACAAGATGGGCACATGCAGCACAGCAAGGTAATGAAAAATTGAACAACAAAAAAGAGCACTGCATTTATTTTTGCGGGAATAGCATGTGAGGAAAAGAATATTTGTAGCATTGATGGTGGAAAAAATCAAACAGAAAACACAAACAAAGTGGTTGTGTGCAAATGAGTGATATTTTGTCTTCGGGGATTTGCGAGTTGCTAAAAGCATGTGTGCAGCACTAATGGTTGATCACATTTGCGTAGTGAGCTCGAGCCTAGAATATGAAAATTTTTGATGCTAGAACACACTGGTGTGCCATGTATTGGCAAAAGTGTTTGCCATGTATGCAGGACTGCAGCTGCCATGCACATAGAATCCAAGTTTTCGTACTGAAAATGAGCTGGTTGCCATGCATTGGCAATAGTAGTTGCCATGTTTGTTGGACAGTAGCTGCCATGACTGGACAACTACAGTTGCCATGCATGTCCACATGTAGACTAACGGCTTAATGTTTGAATGATGTCATGCCAAATCACTTGAAGTTGATGTACTCCGTTAAGATAAACATGTCATTCAAGAAAAAATCTTATGCTTGTACCTGTTTTTTCTATTACAGGGCCTACAACTACAGTGAACAGCGGCGTAGGGGCATCTACTGCGGGAGCTCTGAGCGCACGAAAGACACGTTGCACCAGCCAGCCAACAATCATGCCGCAAACAATACTGAGTCAGAGTCGGAAATGGCAATCATTCCTGCAATACCGACAGGCACCCCTTTGAACAGAAGCACTAGCAACACTCAAGTAGATCAAACTGCCGCCGATACTGAAGTGAATGATGAAACTGATGACGAAGCACAGGGGGATGAAGATGGTGGGCAATCAGAGATCATGGTACCTCAGCCACCGTACATTGGGCGGAGATTTGAATCGTTCGCAGAAGCAAAGAAATTCTACTAGACATATGCAAAGTTCCATGGGTTTGCGGTCAACACCGAATACCATAGGAAGATTAAGAAAACAAACGAGTACAGCAGAGATGAGATGAGGTGCCACAAGGCACGAAGGAACAAGAAGGGGAAAGGTGTTGCGCCCGTCGTTTTGGAACGTAAGAGAGGAATCATTCTCAAGACGGAATGCTCTGTCCGGTGTAAGCTAAACGTAGATGAAGCACAGTGGGTGGTCACTGAATATTTTGACGAGCACAACCACAAACTCATAAAGAAGTTCGACCTGGTGAAGTTTCTGACCGCCCACAAAGGATTCACCCCCCTCGAGAAGAAATTCATAAAGCTGCTAGATGATTGTAACATCGGTTCATCAAGAATGATGCAGATACTATCACTCATCCACAGCAAAAATGGGACTCTGAGTAGCATGCCCTACATACCAGCTGACGTCGCAAATCTAAAGGCAAAATACCCTAGAGAGAGCAAGTTGGTTGACATAGAAGCCATGATGGCCTACTTCGATGAGAAAGCGAAGGAAGATCCAGATTTCTTCTACAGGATAAGATTGGACGATGAGGACCGTGTCAGGAACATGTATTGGGTGGATGGTGCTGCAAGAAGAGCCTACAAATATTTCCGAGATTGCATTTCCTTCGACGCGACATATCTCACTAATATGTACAAGATGCCATGCGCTCCATTCATAGGAATAAATAACCACCATCAGTCGTTGCAGTTCGGATGCGGGCTCTTTCGGAATGAAGACACGGATGGGTACGTTTGGCTGTTCAAGACCTTCTTAGAGTGCATGGATGGACTTGCTCTGATGAACATAATAACAGACCAGGATTTTAGCATGCGTGCAGGCATAGAGGGGGTCTTTCCGTTGGCAGTGCACAGGCACTGGAGGTGGCACATTATAAAGAAGGCCGAGGAGATGCTAGGACTGTTATTTGCTGACCGTCCGGAGCTGCATAAGGCATTCGAGCTGTGCGTGGACCACAGCTTGACGGTGGAGGAGTTTGAAAGGAGCTGGATGGCCATGATTGAAACATATCAAGTCCAAGACAACGAGACTCTTGCTAGCCTATGGGAGAAGCGAATGTACTGGGTACCGGCCTACTTCATGTAGTGCTTCTTCCCTTTTCTGCAGACTACGCAGCATAGCGAGGGGTTCAATGCTGTTTTGAAGCGGTACGTGAGCCCTGGCAACTCATTGCTACAGTTTGCCAAGCAGTACACAGCTTTGCAACAAAAAATACTGGGATTTGAGCTATAGCAAGAAGCGAACACCGCGCTAAAGTAGCCAAAATTGCTAACATATTTACCGATGGAGAGGCAAATGAGCAAGATATATACCAACAAGATCTTTAACAAGTAAGTCAGTTGCGTTGCAATCTTATTTGCACAAGTATGAAGGCAGTAGAGGCTATATAGAATGCAGTGCAGTTGCCATGATCTGAGGATGCCATGTTTAATGAACTACTGTTTGACATGTTTACTCAACTGCAGTTGCCATGTTTAGTGAACTACTGTTTGCCATGCTTAATCGGCTGTAGTTGCCATGTTCAATGAAATGCAGTTGCCATGTGTAATGCACTGTACTTCCACTGGGCATGTTGGTATGCAAATGGCAATGCCAATTGAAAATGTTATGCAACTGCCATGTTTACTTAACTGCATTTGCCAT